TTGGAAGAGAAAGCTGGTTAATCAGCTGCTACATTTCAAATTATGCAAGCATTGGGGTCTAGAATTGAGAAGTTGAATTTTGGGTGGTATTATTTGTATTGCTTCTCTTACCATATAATTTTGTATTATTTGTGTATTTAATATTACCCAAGTTAATTTTAATGAACACTTGTACAGCCTGTAACTTCTATCAAAAGACCTAGACTAGGTGTCACTTTGACATGCCAAAGAAATGAATTTGTTCTAGATTTTCATTTGTTTTTAGTCTCATTACAATACATATTCACCAAGATACCTTTAGCTTTCTGTGGTTCACTAAAGCAATTAATGTTCCAAGCTCTTTAGATTGAAGGAGCTCTTGATACATGGCAAACTCATGGTATTTGCGTAGCCTGACTTTGTATGATTATTATTGTTATAGTGATTTTTATTGTTATAGTAAACATACTGCATTTTTTTTAGGTTTCCTTTTTCGAACTAAATAGAACCTCAAATATTGTTATTATTTATGATATTTAACCCAACCTTGTTCATTGCAGCACACTGTAATACCTCTTCAGCATCTTGTAAGCTTTGCTCTAAATCTTGTCAGCCGATCTTTCGAGTTCCAGGTAACTCTCTGGTATTCCGACCAGAGCTGTTGTCTTTGAAGTCTCTATTACTACTTTTTCCTTGGCCCATATCTTATTATGATGTCTTCTTTTCCACAAAGGCTGATGCTTTTGCTAAGAAGCTTGGTTATTCCTCGGCACTTCGAGCTGGTCTTGTGAAATTGCAGGTGAATTGCCTTTTTTTCCTCCATTTATATAAAAATGTCCTGTCCTGTTTATTTAGTTGATGTTACTGGCAAAGGTGATCATGCTGTGGACGCCCATAAGCATTGTCACTTTGAGACGAGTTGCAGATCCACTCTTGCATGGTGGTTTCTGTCATGTGTGTTTCGTGAATTTGCGTCAAATACCTCCACATTTCAAACTGACTATTTGAAACTATTAATTCCGACTGATTAATTGTATGTTGTTTTGACCTTGTTTGTTTTTTTGCTTCTGTTTTTTGAGTTTTTGTTTTTGTTGTTCTATGGGCCATTCACATGATTAGTTTGCTCCTAAGGTTGCAATAACGTCTCTGCCAACTTTTGCTATTAATTCCAACTTTTGTGTACTGGAGTATCATCAGACTTGTCAGAAATCAGTAGTAACATAGCAGTAGGTATTAGAACATGCTCTAACCCTTATTCAAGTCTTGACTCAAATTTAAATTTGAGTAAAAAAGGCTAAAAACAAGCTCCAATCAGTTACTCAAACCCATACAAAAAGAAAGGGACACTCAAATTTTTACTTAAATCAAGGGTGACTTAAATGTGTAATCAAATTTTCAATGGTCAAATTTCATTCTCAAGATCTAATGGTCATATTTTACTCATTTAAATTTGGGTTTGTCCATTCGAGTGTTTTGTATCAAATCAAACTTTTTACTCCAATGTTGACTCAAATTTAAGTAAAAACCTGAGTTAAGGTTAGAGATGACCTTACTGATAATTGTCTGATATTCTTCCAGGAGGAGAACTTGTCAGCTATGAACACAGATCCTTGGTATTCTGCATATCACTATTCTCATCCTCCACTGGTTGAGAGATTGGCTGCAATTGATGAACCTGATAAAAAGGAAGACTGACTGCAACAAGGTCAATCTAGAGTTCGACATAGAATTAGATCATGTCATACATTGAGCAGAATCACCACAAGCATGAGGATCAATATCTGTAAGACTGCTTTTCCTATATGAATTCAGCAGGTAAGTGATGGTTTTCTAGTTATCGTTCCAAGATTCCACACCAAACGGTAAACTGAGTTTAAAGAGAATTAATGGAGTGAAAAAGAAGAAAATTGGCCATGGAATGTCCTAGTGTAACTGGATACTTTTTGTATTGTGCCTGTATCAGGTAAGAACAGCTGAAGTTCATATCTTTGTTTTTCATCTGCCAGTATTGGCCACATATCTTATTTTCCAGACACAGGTGTTTAGCAGGATTTGATTACTACAATGTGGCAGTTCCAATTTCTATGCAGGATGGTAGATTAATATTTGCCAATGCAGTTATTAGATATTGGAGGCTCTTTGTAGAATTCTTTGGCCTTCAAAATCTGGTAGATAATAAAGTTAAACTTGTTTTGAATTGCTTGGCCTCAGGCAGCAACTCATTTCCTAACCAACAAGACTTAAAATGATAGATTAGGATCAGGAGTTATCAATATTTTAGATCTGATTTCTTAGCCATTCCTGAGAACAGCATCCAGAGTTTTGGCATATTGTTTGAGGTCCTAAATGGTATTAGCCTATACTTCCCAAACAGGTAACAATGAACAATTTGCAGTGTTTTTTGTTTTTGGTCAGTTTGACCTCTTTTTTTTTTTGGTGGAGGAATTTACTTGTATTTATCACCAGTCTTGGATTTATGATTGCAATACAAATTTTGAAATACAAAGAATCATTTGCATTGTATTGGTTAAATTTGGGTTTTTATTGCTAGGTGAATTGGCATGTGTAAGTTTTTTTTTGAGTTTAACGGTCGGGGACGTCTGAGTTATTTTATGTGTATTTGAATTATTTTTTTTCGGTCCGGTCAAAAGTAGACAATCCACGTTGAGAATATGATATTTATGATGAATAAATTTTTTATGACGTGGTCTCAATATCTTTTGGTTGGTATTATTGAAAGTAGCTATATTTCGATACTTTCTTTTTGGGTTTGATTTCTGATACTTCGAAAAAGGAAATCGCGATATTATTTATTGAAAGAGCTGCAAAAACAATTGTAGAAAGTTGGGCTTGGATGGATGAATATGGTCCATTATGATTCCATTAGTGAGCTTTATCTAATTCATTGTCCACTAGATAGGAAGGGTGTAGTTGCTTTTAGTAGTCCAAGTAAGTTGGTAGTCACTTTCTAATAAACCAATGGGTTGGTAGTGTTCAACTAAAAAGTATTAATCATTACCAAGAAAGATGATAGTAAGTTTTATGATAGAGCAACTGCACCCACCCAATAGTGCCATACCAACATTCCTTGCAAAGAATCTTTTTCCAATATTATGGTTCAATCTAAAAAATGATTAATTTGTTTAATGGTGCATAGATAACTTTCTTATTATTATCTTAATCTAGAAGGCCCAAAAGAATCTCTCTTTTTTTTGTTTGGTTATATATTATTACAGGAGAAAGGATGATGAGATTTTAAGGTTCGGACTTGTGATTTTAAGGTTCAATAACGAGAATGATGGTCATTAAATCAACTGTTAATTCTTTTCACTCTATCATTGAGTTAATAATATCTCTAACACCTCACAAAATGAAAATTTTGATCTTTTTTAGTACACTTATTTTTTTAATTTTTTTTTTGACACGTTAATCACTATTAATAAGCGAGGGTCTCACTTATATACAATGAATTTCATTGAATATATAATGGATGACGAGTAAAGAAAGAAATTGAAAAAAAAATTATTAAAGAGGATTTCACTCCCACAAAATGTAGATTAGATATATTTTTTTAATATTAAATATTTGTAATAAATGTAAGTGGGTTCCAACATAGTCACACTTGTCCACTATTAATTCATAGTTAAATCAAACGTCAACCCTCTATTCCATTGGTTTGTATACTATTAATGTAATGGTAAGTGGTATATTTTGAATTCGAAGTTAAACTGAGACTCTAAGTTGTAGCGGTAGTGTTTAATAAAATTGAAAGTTGAATATTAAAAATTAAATATTAAATTTTTTAATTCACAGATTGTTTGATATTTATTAAAAAAATGAATCAAATTGTTTGACAAATATAAGTAGCAGAAATCTGAAAATTATTTTTATTTTTATTTTATCCTTCTTTTTAATTATCTCATTGTAATTATCTTATTCATACCATGATGATGGTATGAGTTTAATGTTACTCAACGAGATTTTAAGTGTGTTTAAAATATTTAATTTTAAGCCTCTGGGGCGTTATAAAGAAGTTCTTAACTCTAAGGTGATTTATTATATTTAATAATAAATAAATATAAAAAAGAATTTAAATCCATAAAATACTCTTAAGTAGCCCACTTGTTGGTTGTAATGCTAAATAAACCTTTGATAAGAATCTTTCAGGAACAAAATGTTCCCATATGTCTTGTGGGCCCCACTTCCTAGTGGCCCTCACTCTAGTCTAACACACCCATACCCTCCTAATCCTAAAGTAATAAAGTCACTAAAACGATCAGATCCGAACTCCATCTGCTTCTACCCGTTAAAAGTGGGTCCCAAAGATCACCCACCATAATTGGCGTAGTAATATTATGACCTCAAATTCCACAGCCCAAAAGCACTTTCAGAGTGTCAATGTTGTCTTGTCTGCGTTTTATACTCAATTCCCAAGAAGAAAATTTATTATTTTTTAAGGGATTAAATTATATTTTTTTAAGTAAAAATTATAACCAAAAAATAATAATAATAATTATTTTTTTAAATCAAGTTATATCTTTTAAAGACACAATTATAATTAATCTGAGATATTCATGATTGATTATAATTTTTAATAATTAATTAAGATTTTATTTCAAATAACTATAATTTTATTTTTAAAAGAAGTAATTTCGTTTCAAAAGATAGTAGTTTTTGATACAATATCAAATTTTTTTTGGTATCATAAAATTGATTATTATTATGTATAAATATCAATTGAGTATTTAATATTTTTTTATTTGATATATTTAACAAATTTATTCAGTTATTATCTAAATCTATTAGAATTAAATAAAAATTCGTTAATTTTCGTTTTTGGTTTGTTTTGTGTGTGGAGTTGCTTTGTCTACAGAGTCTACAGTTTATACTACTATCGAAGGACATATTCGTCATTTTACCACATGCCTGTGGACTTTTTTATAGACAGTTCACAATTTTCCACTAAATATTTAAATCTAGAGAGATAAAGTCCAGCTCATTTTAGTCAGTGAAACTCTACTCTCTCTCTCTCCTAGTTCGCTCATTCCCATCTCTGTTTGTCTGGAGCACCCAATTTCCGCCGGGAAACACATTCTCCGGCGAAAACAATGCCATTTAGCCCGGAAAGATCCAACTTGATGCAATCCCAAATCCTCTGATCTCTCTCTCGCTCTCTCTATACACACACATACATACACTTATATATGCGTCTCAGTCTCTTTCTCTCTCTCTCTCTCTCTCTATTTTCTACCTCCAAGATGTCAGTGTACGACGCCGCATTCGTGAACAGCGAGCTCTCGAAACCGACATCAATCTTCGGACTCCGACTATGGGTGGTAATCGGAATTTTCGTCGGTGCAATCATCGTTCTCTTCCTCTTTCTCCTCTCTCTCTGCATCACCTCTCGCCGGCGCAAAAGCACCAATAAATTCCACCGCCCGGCCAAGCTCTCCAGCGAGCTCACTCCTGTCGTTTCCAAAGAAATCCAAGAGATCTTCCACGGCTCCGCTCCTGATCACCGCCCCATCCTCCCTCAGGCACGAAACTATATATATACATACATATATTCGAGATCTTAACATTATCGAATTTAGGAATATCTGAACTATAAATTTATTTGTTTTCTAGTTCTGCTTATTTACGACCTTATTGAAACGAATTTGTCTCTTCTATTTTTTTGATTATTTTAGGGGTTACCGGAGATCCAGATAGATATGGGGAAGGTAGAGCACAGAGTGGTGTTTTCGGATAGGGCGTCAAGTGGGGAGAGTAGGGCGACGAGTGGGGCTGATACGGCGTCGTTTGGGGGTGGTGGGTCGTTGCCGGAGGTTTCGCATTTAGGTTGGGGACGGTGGTACACTTTGAGAGAGCTTGAGGCGGCCACTAATGGTTTGTCTGATGAGAATGTGATCGGAGAAGGCGGATACGGGATTGTGTATGGTGGTGTTTTGGCAGATAATACTCGCGTGGCTGTGAAGAATTTGTTGAATAACAAGTACTATTTCTTTTCTTAATTCACTCAATTTTAACCTATTATTCCAATATAGATATGCCTTTATCTTTTTATGTGAAAATTATTTATTGATTTATATTTCGTTTGATGACATGAAAATAATTCATACTTTTCTGTGGTCGAAGAAATTTTTGAAAGTAAATCGAGATTTTTATACATATACTTTCGGTATGACAATGGTTTGCCCGATTCTTGTCTGCTTTTAGTTGGAATTTGTGATGTAAAGTGACCTGATTTGTGAGAAATTGACTTTCTTTTTGACTTGAAACCAAATATTTAGTTCAAGGACAAGGTCTTTTTTTTCCTAAGAGTAATGGGACAAGTTCAATACCCCAAATTTTAGATATCTTTTTCGTAGTAAGTTATTCTATAAGGGGATATTGGCTTGAGATTCTCATATCTAATGGAATTTTTTTGTGTGTAGTGTGGAAAATGCTGGAAAAACTGCAATTACACTTCTATAATTTATTGATAGCTTTAGGTCTGTCTATTCCTTGCTTCCAATTGTTGAAAAGTTGGCAGCTTTTTGACGTAAAGACCGGAAACTCTGGTTTACATATGAGATTTGTGAATTATCAGGGGTCAGGCTGAGAAGGAGTTTAAAGTAGAGGTTGAAGTAATTGGCCGCGTGAGGCACAAGAATCTTGTCAGGTTGCTAGGATACTGCGTTGAGGGAGCTTATAGGTATCGAAATTTTCTATTTCTGATTTGAAACTGGGCTTCCGTTTTATTTTTTTGATTGTTAAGAAGCTTAATTATCATACTCTGGTTATGTTGCTAGGATGCTTGTTTATGAGTATGTGGATAATGGGAATTTAGATCAGTGGCTTCATGGAGAAGTTGGGGAAGTCAGCCCTTTAACATGGAATATTCGTATGAATATTATACTGGGAACAGCGAAAGGGTATTGTAATATATATTTCAAAACTTAATTTTACAGCCTTTTCATTGTATTAGAGGACCTGTGAATATAGCTTAGTTTTTTAATGCTATACTCTTCCTGTTGCAGCTTGTCCTATCTCCATGAGGGTCTTGAACCTAAGGTTGTACATCGAGACGTTAAATCTAGCAACATTCTACTTGATCGTCAATGGAATTCAAAGGTGTCCGATTTTGGGCTGGCCAAGCTTTTGTGTTCTGAGAATTCTTACGTGACAACTCGTGTGATGGGAACCTTTGGGTTAGTTCCTTCAAATTTAATTTTGTTAATATTCCTGGTAGTGATTTAAGTTTCTTAGTCTTGTGTTGTTTTTATTATTTCAAATTGGACAAAAACTAACACCTCGTGGATTTACTAGTTATGTTGCACCAGAATATGCTTGCACTGGGATGTTGAATGAGAAGAGTGATGTTTATAGCTTTGGAATACTTATCATGGAGATTATTACTGGGCGAAACCCTGTTGATTATAATCGACCCCAAGGAGAGGTTAGGCTCTAAATATAAATGTGACCAGTTTCTTTTTTGCCCCTTTAATATGTTAAGTTCCTCATGCTTCTCTAACAACTGGAAATGACAAATAACAACAGGTTAATTTGGTGGATTGGTTGAAAACGATGGTTGGAAACCGAAAATCTGAGGAAGTGGTGGATCCCAAGTTGCCTGAGATGCCTGCTTCAAAAGCACTCAAACGTGTTCTTTTGGTTGCTCTTCGATGTGTTGATCCCGATTCACATAAGAGGCCCAAAATGGGGCATGTAATCCACATGCTTGAGGCGGATGACTTGCTATTTCGGGATGTATGCACCTTCTCTTTTTCATAAGCATTGCTCCTTCCCAAATTTCAGCATGGATTGTTTAACTTGTTCAAATCGGGCAAATAGGATGATCTTTCCAATTTTGCTGTGGTTTCCTAACCCTTCACCTATTGTTCACCTTAATTTGCAGGAAAGACGAATTGGAAAAGAATCTTCCCACTCCCATCGCAATCACATAGAAGACAATCATGCTGGTCCAAAATTAGGTGATAAACAACTTGGCGAAGGCACTTCTGATACCAGTGAAGGTGATAGTAGTAGGAACCTTAACCAGCCAAATAGGAGGAGATAGCGCTACGGAAATATTGCCACCTACGGTTCGACCTAATGCAAGTTTTTAAAGCTTAACTGTAATTTATTTTTCTTCCATAGTTTTTTGCTGTACGGTCACTTCCTGTCACATGTATTTTGTATAATACAAATAATTGATTCTTCATTCTTATAGGAATTATACCAATTGATTGATTTCTCTTTGATTGCGAAATGAAATTTGCATCAACAGTACCTCATGCTTGCTTTCTTCTGCCTTTGGTCTGGTTAACTCAGATCTATATCCTTAGAATTTGCATGTTATTGATCAATATGAACTATCAGGCCGGATATATCATATATATGCAGGATCGAGTCACCGAAAAGCTGCTATGGATGGAAGTATATGGAATCTAGTCTAACCCCCCACCCCCACCCACCCCCCAAAAAAAAAAATGAAGCAGTATTGGACACTAGACCCTTTTTTTTTAGATAAAGTCAGCTTCAAATTATGGAAAGTGGACCCATCAGCCAGCTAATTTTGTTTCGGGCAACTACATGCAATCCCCTTATTCTTGTCCTGGTTGGACCTTGGCAAGCTAGGCAACCACCACCCATGTTCCATATTGGGACTTGGGTAATGGCTTTTGATTTCACCATCAGTGCCAGAACATTATGTTGCCTACAGTCCAATAATGATGCTTGCTGTAAGGGTCGTGGAAGCAAGCTGGCAGTGGCTGTAAGTGACAAGAATTGGCCCTTTTAGATTTTATGTCTGCATTTATTATTGTCTCTATCTATAGTTAGAGAAATTCTTTAATTTTGTTGAGTGTTTGTTAAGTGATCCCGCCTTTCCCAAACTGCGATCCAGTCAAGGCGAATCGAATTGTCTTTTTATTTCACAACTGCCTCCTCAAAGGATCGTGTAAAGGGGAATTCAAGTGAGGGTAAATAAATTTTGACTGCTTCTTGTTACTCGACTTATCATCCAAGGAAGAAAATCTTTTTAATGTGTTTTGCTGCAATTTTAGAAAATCTAAGTTAAATTCGGTCGGTGTTAGGCAGTTTAGTTCTAGTTTACCTTGAAAAGATACAAGAACTATGGGGTAGTTTGAGCATCCTTGTGAAATTGAGCTGTTCTGTATTGACTCTGAGATTTGGTGGACTAAGTTTTAGTTATTGCCAGTTAAGACTACCAGTTCTTTTCCCCTGCCTAGCCAATGTGCAATGCTGTATTCATCTCGTCATGCCTTTAGAAAGTACATGAAGGCTTGACCCATGGTTCCTCATCGGATCCAGGATCCGGGTTTAAATTTTCATCCCCTCCATCCGTCTAGTGCATGACATTCCCGACACTTCAACGTGAGATTTACTTGTTCTTGTTTTCAAACGCAGACTCCATTCTGGGTTTTTTTTTTTGGAGGGGGTTAAATGTTTGTTTTGATCGAGAAAAGCATTTAATTTGACAGACAATTAATGCTTTTAGCAGTTGTATGTGGGAAGAAGTAGCAGCGTACATTCATGTGATGCTTTAAATGTAGTTCAATGGATATAAAACCACTTTGCCCTCTTCGAACAGGATCCGACGGAGTCCCAGTAGAAGAATGAATATATCAAAATTGCTGGATGGATCGTAGAGATGAGTTGTAAATTCAGACATTTTGAGTTTAAATTTGACAATTCATTCATTTATTGGTGTCAGGTTATAAGAGATTTATTTTTCATTAATACTTTAGTCTCAGCGTAAATGAACTGCATTTGATTGAACTTGAAAAAAAATTCGTCAAAATATGCGTTAACGGACATGAATATCTCTCCCCGTTAAACACAAAAAACAAACTCCGAAGTGCCGGAAGATACCGAACTCCAACCTGTTGATGGAGTTTTCAAACCCAAGGAAATAAATATGACCTATTGATTCGACACAAAATTATTATATATGAATTTAACATTAACAAATTTGAATCATATCTTGATTAACCGATTAGACACGCTCAATAGTAGGTGAGAGAATCTTATTATGCATAATACAAGTTCGATTAAAAACGGTTACAAATTAATAAATTTTAGTGAAAATTAAAAATAAGTCCCCTAGATATACTTGTTTGAAAATAAGTCATAAAAGGAAACTTATAAGGGGTTAACTCCATGTTTAAAATTATATGTAATGACTTAAGTCCACTTTTTTTTTTTATTTCAAAAATACCATTTCTTAAAAGAAAGTTATTCTTTTTTCTCTCATATCTATCTTTATCCATATATAGATTAAGAGTTTGATTAACATTAAAATTTTTCCTTTTTCTTATTTATTTATATTCATATATAGGTTAGGTATATATATATAGTAACATTAAAAATAAAAAATAGTAATATTTAAATACAAAAAAAAAATTACTATGAATTTGAAATAGTAAAATTCAAATTCATGTTAATATTTTTTTTATTATGTTACTGTTCTTGTTACTGCCTTTGTTGAGCATGTTACTATTATTTTTTAGCATGATATTATTTTTGTTGAGGTTGTTACTACTATTATATTTCTAAATATTAATATTCAATATTATTTTTTTTTAATATTACTATTTTTGTATTTGAATGGTATTATTTTTTACATTTGAATTTGAGAGAAATAATTATTATTAAGTATGTTACAATTTTTGTTAAACATGTTACTATTTTTGTTAAACATGTTAATATTTTTGTTGAACATATTACTGCTGTTATTTTTTAAAAATATTAATATTGAATGTTTTAATTTTTTTTTTGTTTAAATGTTACTATTTTTTTGTGTTTAAATGTATTATTTTTTGTATCCAAATGATATTTTTTTTTATATTTAAATGATATTATTTTTTATTTTTAATGGTACTATATATATAAGAGAAAATTTTAATGTTAGTCAAACTCTTAAGATTTAATAGTTTTTAATTTTTAGTTTTATTTCACTTCTAAAGGGAAGGGATAATATGATAAAATTGACAAAAAATAGACTTCATAACAAATAAATTTTCTTGACGAACTTAAGTCCATCTAAGGAGACCGACCTCCAAATTTCCCTAAATTTTAATACTACTCAACTTGAACATTTCATAAATTCAAACCACGTAAAAGGGTATGAAAAGTGACACCTATTGACAAAGTTGGCCAAGGTGTATCCCTACTTTTCTGCTGCTTCATTTGGAAGTTCAAGTAGAGTGACGCCAAAATGTCACGTGGCCCATTATTTTGGTTCTCTAATACTTGGACAAGCTAAGCCCACTAAAGGAAATGGCCCAACATTGTTTAAGCCCAAAACATTGATCAAATCACGTTTTCTACCAAAGATTGTTGATCGGGACGGGTAAGATAGTGTAAGAGTATTTTCAATTTTTTTTTTATCTTTTTTAGGCTTAAATTAAGTTCAAATAAAAATAGCTCATAAGCTTTTTTCAATCCTATATCCAAACTAATGTCAAATCAAGAGAAATTCAATTTTTATTCAAATCAAGAAAAATTCAAATGTTTTATTTTTGATATGATAAATTTTGTGTTGGCTGTCAACTACGTAACACAATCCTCGTATTTTATCTAAACTTGGGACAGATTGTGCACAAACGAGTCGAGAAGACCATGACAGGTTCTTAGTGGTTGAATAGTCCGACTTACTTTGTGGAACCCCGTATTACACAAGCTGAGTTATTAAGAGAGACTAAAATCTTTATTCAAATTATAAATAATTAAATTTTATTCTCATTTAAACATACAATGGTCATATTTCACTTTTTTTTAAATTTGAATTTATTTACTGGAGTTCTTTGTATCTATTAATTTTTTTACTCAAATATTAAACTTAGATTTGAATAAAAATTCAAGTTAAAGTTTGAAATACTCTTAAGTTGTTATATTTAAATTTTTTAACTAATATTTAATCCGTTGAGAATCATGCCACATGTCAAGTTCATATCGACACGTTTAACTATGTTCTTTGATGATATGATAAGTTCATTCATTTATTATCAAATCTTTTAAAATTAAACTTAAATCCTCCTCAAATTTTGTGAATAGTGTCAAAAATCATCATGTCTAGTACTGCACTGTATTTGGTTGGAAGGAAAATTCGATAAATGAAAAATAGTGGGTGAAAAATGGAGCGGATAAAAAAAACTTTCTATTGTTTAGTATCAAAAGAAATAATGATGGAAAGTAAAATTGGAGAGATAACTTTTATCTCCCGCCCACAATTTGCTTTTCCCTAAGAGTGGTGGGCAGGACAATTTGACTTTTACCCTTTGTTATTAATTACTTGGAAATTAATATAAAGGTAGAATTGTAAAGTGAACATGCATATTTTTTTTTTTTTTCATTTTTCATTTAATACTAAATGATACAAAATATATTCTTTCTATTTTCAATCCCACCTACTAAATAAAAAAAGAGAGAAAATAACTTTATTTTTTTCAAGGATGAAAAATTTATTCATTATATTTTTCCTCCTGTCTTACTTTCTATCTTTTTACCAAACGGAGCACTAATTTCTCTAGATTCTTCAGCCTTCGATTAATACAAAAACAACGGTCATGCCTTTCCACCGAACATTAGAAAACAGAGGGCGGCCACAGGACAAGGTCCATTTCCAAACGGTCGGTTGTCTACCAATAAAATAAACTTCACGAGACGTGTTTGGCTATGCAAATACTGATAAACTCACTATTCTATACACTAAAATAATAGTGTAGAGCGATTGAGATCAAACTCAGATCAACCCAACAGTTTTGAAAAATATAACATTATCAATTATCAATATTCAATGTATATAATGTAACCCACAAAAAAAATTGCAACTCAATGTAAAAAAATATAACATTATCAATTATCAAAATCCAAAGTATACAATATACAAATAAACAATCAAATATATACTGATAGAGAGAGAGATAGAGAGAGTATGAGTCAGTAGTATACCTGTTACGGTGTCCGTGGTCGTCGTCGATCTGTTGCCTCGATTTAAATGGAGCTTTGAAGCAGCGAAGGTGAAACAACTTTCTCCTTTAAAAATCGAAATCGCAGTGAAGAAAGTTAGAGATCGAAAGTTCTTTCCCTCCTCGATTCGAGTCTTTGTGCTCGCAGTGAAGGTGAAGCAGAGACCAGAGGCAGGGAGAGATTGATGTGAGAGAGAGAGAGAGAGGGGTTGTTCGCTTCTTCGTGAAGAGGGGGGCTGGCTGGGAACGGGATAGGAAAGGAATGATTTAGGTTGAAGGCAAAAATGCCCAAAAGTGCCTCCAAAATTAGTTTTTATACTAAATAAAAAAACTTGACCGGTTTAGTGAACTCGTCCGATTTAATGATTTTTACTGGTTTTGTACGAGTCTTCGAATTTACTCCGATTTTGGTGTATAACCGATCTAATAGATGAACCGGACCGATTTAGACAACGGTTCACCGGATTGACCCACCAGACCAGACCGAATCGAATTTTAAAACACTGAATTTGTGCATATTAAAAAAACAAATTTAAATAACATACATTTGAATCAATATAACTAATTTTTTATCTACGATTTCTACCAATTTAGAAAAAATAAATTTTAATGAGATAAAAAAAAGACTAATATTTTATTTATTTATTTTTAATTTAACAGTCAAAATATTCAAATTAATTGACGCACATTTCAGTTAATTTCCTCCGTAAAAAACATAACTTTCACTTGAAAACTAAAGTATAAAAAATTCTTAAAATTTAAATTTACAACTTTAAATTTGTGGTTAGTCTTTCATATGCGTACGAAACGAGTGGAAAAATGTAGAGGAAATGACGAAAAGTCTTTTTAATTTGGGTTAATCTCATTTTATATCCTAAAAGATAGTTTAAATCTTAATTTACACCCTCAAAGAGCAAAAATCTCAATTTACACCTTCAAAATAGAAATTTGTATCAATGTGCACCCCCAAAGATCAAAAATCTCAATTTACACCTTCAAAAAAAAAAATTTGTATCAATGTGCACCCCCAAAGATAAAAAATCTCAATTTACACCCTCAAAGATAGAAATTTATATCAATGTGCACCCCAAAGATAAAAAATCTCAATTCGCACTCTCAAATATAGAAATTTGTATCATTATGCACCTAAAAACTAAACTCATTTTCATTGATATCTGTTAATATAACCGTTAAAAAATATAATTTTATACTAATAAAAAATTATAATTTCATATTACCCTTATTTTATGGGTCCAATATATTCTAAAGTTCAAAATCAAGCTTACCATTTGAATGTCTAATAAAATGTAGATATTTATATAATATTTTTCATATTTTCCTTTTTATAAATATCTACATTCTATTAGACATTTAAATGGTAAGCTTGATTTTGAACTTTAGAGTATATCGAATCCACAAAATAAAGGGTAATATGAAATTATAATTTTTTATTAGGATAAAATTATATTTTTTAACGATTATATTAATAGATATTAATGAAAAGTGGTTATGTTTACACATGTACAAACGTTATGAGATGTAGGGGTAATATTCTAAATGTGAAGGGATTCAAATGATTAAGTGACAAACATGAGGGGATTTAGGTATAATTTATCAATTTAGTTTTAGGTGCACATTAATACAGATTTTTATCTTTGAGGGTGCAAATTGAGATTTTTGATCTTTAGGGGTGTACATTGATATAATTTTCTATCTTTGAGGGTGTAAATTAAAATTTTAATCTTTAGGGATGTAAATTAAAATTCGAACGATATTTTAGAGTGTAAAATGAGATTAACCCTTTTAATTTTGCAAGCAATAGACCAAAAACCTGAAATAACAGTTTCCGCCATTTATATTCAGCCACGTTTCAGTGGCATAGGACTGCCTATAAGTTCAACGGTCACCGTAGCACAACTTTCCACTTGCATCGAGAAACGACTACAAAACCTATCGCGGAGACTTCTAACAATCCCAATCTCTTTACGCGGCCGCTACTTTTTACCTAATTTGCGATTATCTCTTCTTCTTCTTTTTCTTTTCTCTCTCTGTCTCTGTATCTGTTTGAATATGTGTAAAAATATCTAGATTTCTTTTGTTTGTGAATATTTAGGGCTATGTTTTCTGTTTCAATAGCGATTTAGTTTCTACCTATCGGTTCTGATTTGGTTCTGTCTCGTCGATTTGGTTCTGTTTCGTTGATTTGGTTCTGTTTCGTTGATTTGGTTTTTCTTCTGAAGATCTAACAGCTCGGTGAGTATTTTTAATTTGATAGTTGTTTGATCTGTTATTTATTTGTTCTTATAGTTTATAGATATGCTTGTTTTTGGGTTATATAGTACCGGTTATGTAGATCTTTAACAAATTAACAATGAAAAAGGTTTGGGCGCTGATAAGAAATTAGATTTGAGGAGAGGGTGTGTTCCTTATTGTTTATGTATGGTTAGAATATAGGGTTAAAAACTTGTGAGCATCTTCATGTTGAAAATTGTTATGTCCTTGTCTTATTTTCTGTTGTCTGATATAAAGATTGAATTTGGTCTCTGAATTTTAGATGGTATTAGATGCTACTCATAATCTCTGCTACAATGGGTTATGAAATAGCAATTAGGCCCATCTCCATCATTTGTGGTATTACTTGGTGTGTTGTAATTTTATAAAATACCATGAACTTTTTTTGCTATGATTTCTAATGATTGCTTCCATTCAGTAATTATTTTGCATGAAAACTTGTGAATATAAAAGTTAGAGCATGTTGTTCTTGTGGACAACCACAAATTATAGGATCTTGGAAAAAATTTGTGATGATAGAAGTAAATTATTATTGTATTCAAATTTGATTTATCAATTTTGGTTTTACCTGAGATTGATTCTATATCGGTGTTGTTGCATCCTTAACTTCTTAATTACTCACACTCTAATTTGAGATTGGAAAAACAATCTTCATTGCAATATTAGCATTGCTCTCATTTTATTGTGGCTATAGTGCATGTTATGAAGTAGTTGGAGCTGTATTTTTTTTAAGTGCGTGGAGGTACCAAATAGATCTACATGCACAACTATGGTCAATCCTGAGAAATTGTCTTCTCATTCAATTCTGTCTGACTTGTGTTTTAAACATCTTGCAGTTGATACATTGAAATGAGTCATCCACAGGATCCACACAGGGCTTTCTTCCCATTTGGAAATCCATTCCGAATGATATTACCTAAGGGCTTGTATCTCTCTCATAAGCTTCTGGCATTGTTGAATGCGTTTGAGGATACCTTGGCAGAGAGGATTAGGAAGCTTAAGCCAATAGACAGGGAAGATGTCCTTAGCTTATCATGGATGAGATTGGCAATGGAGTCTCTCTGTGAAACTCACAATGACATTAAAGTCCTCATTACTGCCCTTGAACTCCCTGTGTGTGATTGGGATGAGAAATGGATTGATGTATATCTGGACAATAGCGTCAAGTTGCTTGATATCTGCATTGCGTTCAGCTCTGAGTTGTCACGCCTGAATCAAGGGCATCTGTTGCTTCAGTGTGTCTTGCATAATTTGAATTCCCCCAGTCCAAAGCAGTTTGTGCGTGCTCGTGCTTCACTTGATAGTTGGAGGCAGCACATTAATTCAAAGAACCCAAGGCTTGAGAACTGTTTTGCCACCTTGGACAATCTTACCACAACTCTTAACCTACCTAAGGTGAAAAACTCAGCCAAAGGCAAGGTATTGATGCGTGCTATGTATGGAGTGAAGGTGGTTACACTGTTTGTGTGTAGTATCTTTGCGTCTGCCTTCTCAGGTTCAGCAAAGAGGTTGATGGATTTGCAGGTGCTTGAAACATGCTCGTGGGCTGAAGCTTTTACTGAGCTGCAGGCTTTTGTTAATGGCGGGATAAGAAATATGGTTTCAAGTGGAAGGGTTATGGTATTGAGAGAGCTTGAAGCAGTTGATATAACTGTCAAGAAATTGTACCCCATGATACAAGATGGGGTTGGACCTGTGGAAGCTGAAGCATTCCAGATTTCTATCTCGGATATGGGGAAGAGGACTGAGAAGCTCTCACAAGGTTTAGATGTTCTTGCGAAGGAAGTGGATAGCTTCTTCCAAATTGTTCTATCTGGACGCGATGCTTTGCTTTGCAACTTTAGAGTGGGTTCTGAGACTAGTAATGTAGAGGAGCAGCAAGTCTCGAGGTGAAGGATGATGAAGATAAATTCTCTCCTCTATTCACGTGATGGGTGTAGGTATGGGGATTTCTGTTATTTGTTTGGTAAAAATATACCAGGTTATCTAATGTGTGGTAATTGGTATAGTTTAGCCTTTGAGTTGTGGTATCTTCATATTGAAATGTTTAGTATGTATCTGGATTGTTGTGCAATATTAATTATATATATAAAAGGTATGTACTGTTGGCACAAAAATGTGTTCATCCTTTTGACCTCAGAATCATCTTTTTAAATTTATTGACATGTTTTCCATCATGTTTCTCTTGTTTATCTGCTGTAATGTTGAGGCTCGTGTTATGTAACAAGCTGACAATTTGAAGCTTTTTTTTTTTCCTAAATATGCACAACTATCGTTTTGAGGTAGCTTTCCGAATTTTGATGCTTACGATGTTGAAAAGAAAGATAATGGGTATGGGGTTTTCTGCAGCACTAAGTTGTGATTTAAATCATTCAATGGTAGGTATCCCTTGCAACTTGCTAGGGTAATAGATTGTAGAAAAGGCATGTTAAAGTGAATCTGAATATATAAGGAAGTTCACCCCCCCCCCCCCCCCACAAATCCATCCTCTATCCCTTACTTGCCAGCTTGATTGCTCGTCTTATTTACCGTTTGCTTTAGCAGGTGGTTTATGTCTGGCCCTTCGTAATGGTGTTGGAGTCTCGTGATTCTGGAAGATTTTGCTTTGAATTTTTTTTCCCCGTGCTTTTACATGATATGTGCTGTGTCTGATCATGCTATTTTTGTGGCTAGTTTGTTGTGGGAGGGAAGCTACTTTCCTCAGCCAGAAATTCTGCATGGAAGCAGCAGAAAAAGCCGGTCTGTTGTTTCCATGAGCTTCTGCTCCTGTGATACAATCCATTTGAAGGTAGGTTCCGCATTTGTTCTAACGTCTCTTGTGCTTACCTTGTGAAAATCTTTGTGATCCCTTCTATCACGAAAGATTGTAATGGGCACAATGATCAATATTCCAATTTGGAGCATACTTACGGCAAGCTCGGGAACAGAAAATTAAAAATACCGAAACACGGAAAACATTTCCAAATACCTCGAAATATAAAATTTTTTATTATCTCTGATTTGTTTCAAGTTTGATAGAAACCGAAATGTTTTGGTGAAATTAAAATTAAATTTTCATCTTTGATTACGTTGGTGTTTTAATCAATTACTTATGTCATATGGTGAACTTAGTTATCACCTAGCCATTGTTTTCAAACAAAGGAGTGACAAAAGTCTTAGAGGTGGTTCAGTGACGTAGATCTTGACTTTTGGTAATTTAGAGGTCAGGGACAATTTCTTATCACATTTCTTAAGTAGTAGTCACTTTTGTTCCTCTTTTAAGGACACATGTTTTAACTGAATTGAAGTTATGGTGGTTAGTCGTTAAATTTTAGAGAATAGTCGACACAAGTTTGAATAGTTTATAACAAAAAAAAAAAAAACAAAAAGGGACTCAAAGGAGTGACAAGAATTGGTGTTGTGGTTAGACTCCACAACTTGATGCCATTTTTTCAGTTGGTAAAACTTGCTACTGGTGTCGAATAAGCTTCCTCCAGAAGTGGTTTATAGCTTTTAATGTGGGATAAAAATGACACGGCCATAATACGAATTTAAAGTGATAAAAGCCGAATTACATAATCCCGAGATGACATAAGCAAGAAATGAATAGACAAAGTCGATCAATTGTAATCTTTTTTGATTATACCACACACCAGCAACAAGACAATGGATCGCATGGAGTCACAGCTGTGTGTACTTTTTATGTGTTTATGATATTTCCTGGTTCTCTTAATTTTCTGGAACCTTACCCTAGAATTTAATATATCACACCTACTGCTGAAGCATCCAATGATTCTTTCTGGCAATACGTAATCAATTGATGAGCTATGATCAGGGTTTAAACCTCATTTAGTAATGCAAATTGACTTGGTTTAATGGGAACATTAGCCTATGTGGGTGGCGATGACTGTGGGCGAGGGCGGGGAGAATAGTTCCGTCCCGTATTCATTTTAAAAATATTCATTCATTCCGTTAGTGGAGAATATTTTAATTTTCATCTATGTCTTGTGGGTAATTTTATATATATATATATATTTTTTTTAGTCTTTCCTCATCTCTATCTTACACGAGTTTATAAAAGTATTATTGTATAAATTCACTGCCTAATATATATAATTCATCAATGCAAACGAAATGAATTTATACTGTTTTTTCTCGGTCCACTGCCGTCTCTACTCCAGGTGCAGTGTGTCAAAATGTTGGCCGCCAGCTCTGACCGACTTTTCTGGAAACTTTAATGCCAGCGAATATAGTTAGGCTTAGCTTGCAATTGGTCTCCTGTGGGTTCCATGTGGCGTATGCCAATTACAAGTCACAACTGTTGCAAAGAATTGTGGTTGAAAATCCATGAGAAAAATATATAATATAAGAGATGTATGTAACTTATTTCCAACAAATAAATATTATATATTAAGATGAGATTATTTTAATTTAAATAAAATTATTTGAGATCGGTTGCAAGATGAACACTTGCATTTTAGGATTGGTCATAATAATTTTGTCAATTGTTATAAAAATCCCTTTTAGTACTATATTCTTACCAAAAGAAATTGATTTCGTGGGTTACATTATTCTAAAGTTGGACCGTGTGGCCAACCTCGCAAGTCCATGGTGTGATAGGTGACCATCGTTCGTGATGTATAAAATTGACATCATCGTAAAGTTGTAAGATAGAAAATGAATATAATTTTAATTATATTGAGATTAAGCGATTAAGCTTGTTTAGTAAATAGGGTAACATGAGAGAACCGATTTGTATATGACTAATGCGTGATAGGTATGGTCACCCATGCTCTCAATTGTAAATAAATTAGAGATTATTGGTGCTTGAAAGTATAGCGTGGCATAAATCAATTGGTTAACTCAATTAATTAGATATAAATTATTAAAAAAATTAAATATAATTAAAATATTTTTTAACAGGGTTACGTGAACCCGGCTCACAATTCACAGGCCTGAATGTAATTCAACGATTACATGAAGATTCCACCAAGAAAAAGCAAGCCCCCAAAAGTCCGTTTACTTCACGGGAAACCATAGCAATTCCAGTTCAAAAGTTCACACGCATTCACACACTTTCTCTCTCTAGAACACACTCGCAAAAGTCCTCCATTCTTTGCCAAGAACGACCCCCTCACCCAAAAACCACGACAATTGTCAAAGAGCTGTGGGATATTCCATAGCTACCGACACATACCCTCCAAAACCTCTTCAACTTTGGCTTTTTCGGTGAATTTCTGAGTTGGGTTTTGAGTCTTTATCGAAGAGGAGTGTGTGTCTATGGAGTCAAGTTCTGGTTCAAGTGACCATGGAAATATCAGAGGAGTGCCTACGCATGGTGGGCGGTACGTACAGTATAATGTCTACGGTAACCTCTTTGAAGTCTCCCGAAAGTATGTCCCTCCGATTAGGCCTGTGGGTCGCGGCGCGTTCGGTATTGTTTGGTAAGATTTCTCTTAGTCATGGGTTGGAGCTAGTTTTGTTTTTTTTGGTTCTTCTTTATGAATTTACAATATGATTCAAGATATGAATTCATGCATATATGTATTGATCCCTATGCTTTGTATAACTATAGTAGTGATTAGAGATTGATGTTGGTTGCATTATTGTTCATGTGGGCTTTCAAGAATTTTGGAGATCATGCTTGATGTATGTAGAAAGGTTGATTTGTTTGTGTTGTGTGTTATAGTGTCATGATTTTATACGTATTTGTTGCTGAGAATTTAGAGATGTTGATGTGTTATTGTTTTTGTGATTAAGAATGTTACTATTGAATGCATATAAGATGGCGAATTTCTGTGGAATATCTAGTAAATGGAGTTTTAGGGTTCGTTTCACTCTTCTGGTAATTGGGTTTAATCTGTAGCCGAAGAAGGAGAAACATAATCTTGTAATTGGGTTTAATCTGTAGCCGAGGAAGGAGAAACATAATGAGAGCAAGAAGTTTGTTTGACTTGAGGTCAATCAAAAGTAGACATATTCTTTAAAGATGTTGATTTCTTCAATTTTGGTGATATATGCATATGCTATGTTATAATGAAGTGGCATCAAACTTGTGCATTTCTTTGATCCAATGGAATTTCCTTAATTTATAAGTCCATTTCTAATTGTTTGGTTTGTTTCTTGTATCTGTTATCCAATTCTTGTTTACTTTAACATGCTTTTGTTTAGCTGGGTTCAATTCTTGAAGCCGGCAGACATCGGATGTAAGGTTTGCTCATTCCTATACGTGCTCCATTTGTAACTTCAGAACTGCTTAATTGATGAACTTAAGAATTGCACTTGCACATCATTGCAGGCTGTGGGATGTGGTTTCACCAATTTCCATTTGACAGGAAAATTATTTGCAAAATCATATGGGCTAGTAAAATCCAGATTCCAGAATTCTGTTTTCCCCATTCCCACAGTTTTAGCATGTATTCATGTGCATCAGTAAGTCATGCATTACGAAACAATAACAATTTAGTGTAAGATTGAGTGTTGGAACTAGATTTGACCAATTTGTTTTTTTTCTATTACCACCACTTTTCTGGGGAAGCTTTTTGATTTTGAAATTGGTGTCCTTATAACTCGTAGACCACCTAGTGATACTATGCAGAATTGTAAACGGGAGAGTATATTTCTTTTGCATGCTGTGCTATTTCAAGGAATTAGGTTAGATTATGCCTGTTCTGCTATTTTACTTTTTTTTTCTCTTTTTTATCAACAATGTGAAGGAGTGATTTTTTCGTTTGTTTCAGTGCTGCTGTGAATTCAGAGACACGCGAGGAAGTTGCTATTAAGAAGATTGGTAATGCATTTGACAACAGAATAGATGCCAAAAGGACACTGAGGGAAATTAAGCTTCTCCGCCACATGGATCATGAAAATGTAAGTCCATGATGTCAAATTACAAGTTCACAACATGATTAGGATATTTTGCATGTTCTCTTTGCAATTATTCTCCTTTGATTTGGTTGATTCTAGTCTGCCAGTATTTATGTGTGGAAATGTAACCTATTCTTCATTAATAATACTTCCCTAGTTTTGAGCAAGATATACAGTGGTAAGCTAGCAGGAAAATGCGACTTACCATGATGTTAGGATAACATGTATTTGACCCGTTTTATAGAAAGCTATCTTAATTTGGCGCAAACAAAACTGATGAGTCTGGATACGATTCTCTTGAATAAAAATTTTGGACATAATCAACCAGAATCATGGGAATTATTTCTTTATCTAGCCATTACAATTTTTTTCAAAACAATTTCGTTGGAGAGGTTTAGATGGTGTGGGTAGTAATATGCTGTGAACCGAAAAAAAAAAAAACAAAAAAAAGAGTTGGAGTACAAGTAATCTTGAGTTACAGGTATAAAAATTCACCTCTGGAAAATGAAATTCTATAACTGCTTATTCCTAAGAGTGAAACAAAATGCTTTATTAAATGGATACTTCATTTATTTTTTATGCTTAAGTCCACCTTTGCATGAGGTTTTTTCTAACTTAGCCACTCCAGAAAATAAGAAAGGAGAAAAGCGAAAAAAGGATCAGCACTTACATTCTGCAAAGGACTGGGCTCTCAAGTTGTTTGTACTTGATATGGTTAGTTGTCTGGCGAAAACTTTAAATATTTATCTTTGATTTTAAACTAGGTGTATGGTCCCATTCAGAGAGAGAAAAAAACTAGGAGTATGGCTAGTCAATTTGGGATATTTAATAAATATGAAGAAACTTCTGCATTGGATAAAAAGAAGATATTATCAATGTAAAAACCTAGAGCTCATTAGTGTATTATATTCTTTCAATTTTCATAGAGCAGCAACATCACTAGAGTCCTAATTTTTCTGAGTGATCCCTTTAAAATAATTGGATATTAGACTATGTGATCAAGTAAGGACATTTGATGGAATGCACAACTGTTTGTATTGTTGGATAGTAAAGATGCAAAGGAACTGTCTTGATTGTTTCATTTTGGAACTATGAACCTTTTAGTGCTTCTGTGGCTGTTTATAATGAAGAGATAATATACTTCCCTTCTTTAAAGTTGAAGGCAAAGTGATATGCTGACTGCACCAAATTTATTACTAATAGGTTAAAGTTAAACAACAAAATTTCTTGGCATTCATTAATCCCTTTTTTAAAAGAGTTGAACTTTGAGCAAATGCCACAAGAACTTGAAATTCTAGAAAAAAATTTAGTTGTTTATGATAATTGATCAATATTCATTTAAATTGTTTCTGGGATTGTGAATGGTCTTTTTTGTGCTGCTTTTTTGGCTTATCATATATTTCTTTTAAATATTGATAACTTTTGATTTTTGGTTTTTCTGTTTTGGTGAAAGCATAAGCTTACTGCTTAGTTTTATATGCCGCCGCAGGTGATTGCAATCAAAGACATTATACGGCCTCCACAGAAGGAAAACTTCAATGACGTCTACATTGTTTCTGAACTAATGGATACTGATCTTCATCAGATTATACGTTCCACTCAACAATTAACTGATGATCATTG